GATGGCAAGAATGGACAGAAGAACTATACAAGAAGGACCTCAATGTCCTTGATAACCACGACAGTGTGATCACTGACTTCGAGCCAGACATCCTGGAGTGCAAAGTCAAATGGGCCTTAGAAAACATTACTAACAACAAAGCTAGTGGAGGTGATGGTATCCCAGCTGAGCTATTCAAAGTCTTAAAAGATGATGCTGTTAAAGTGCTGCACTCAATATGCCAGCAAATTTGGAAAATGCAACAGTGGCCACAGGATTGGAAAAGGTCAATTTACATTCCAATCCCAAAGAAGGGCAATGCCAAAGAATGTTCAAACTATCGCACAATTGCACTAATTTCACGCACTAGCAAGGTCATGCTCAAGATCCTACAAGCTAGGCTTCAGCAGTACGTGGATAGAGAACTGCCAGAAGTATAAGCTGGGTTTCGAAGAGGTAGAAGAACTAGAGATGAAATTAGCAACATTCACTGGATTATGGAGAAAGCAAGGGAGTACCAGAAAAAATCTACTTCTGCTTCATTGACTATGCTAAACTATGGCAAGTCCTTAAACAGATGAGAGTACCAGACCACCTCACATGTCTCTTGCGAAACCTGTATAAGGGTCAAGAAGCAACAGTTAGAACCGAATATGGAACTGATTGGTTTAGCACAGGAAAAGGATTACGAAAAGGATGTATATTGTCACCTTGCTTATTTAATTTATATGCAGAGCACATCATATGAAATGCCGGCCTGGATGAATCAAAAGCCGGAATTAAGATTGCCGGGAAAAACATCAACAACCTCAGATATGCAGACGATACCACTCTAATGGCAGAAAGTGAAGAGGACCTCAAGAGCCTCCTGTTGAGGTTGAAAGAGGAGACCACAAAAGTTGGCTTGAAACCCAACATCAAAAAAACTAAGATCATGGCATCCGGTCCCATCACTCCTTGGCAAATAGAAGGGGAAGTCATGGAAACAGTGACAGACTTCACATTCCTGGGATCCAAAATCGCTGCAGATGGTGACTGCAGCCATAAAATTAAAAGATACCTGCTACTTAGGAGGAAAGCTATGTCAAACCTAGGCAGCATTAAAAAAAGTAGAGAAATCACCCTGCCAACAAAAGTCCACGTGGTCAAAGAAATGGTGTTCCCAGTAGTACTGTATGGCTGTGAGAGTTGGACTATAAGCAAGGCTGGGCGCTGAAGAATAGATTCTTTTGAATTATGGTGCTGGAGATGACTCTTGGGAGTCCCCTGGACTGCAAGGAGATTGAATAAGTCAATCCTAAAAGACATCAACCCTGACTGTTCCCTGAAAGGCCAGATACTGAAGCTGAAGCTCAAATACTTTGGCCACCAAATGAGAAGGGAGCACTCCCTGGAGAAGACTCTGATGCTGGGAAAGACTGAAGGTCAAAGAAGAAGGGGATGGCAAAGGGTGAGATGGTTAGACAGTGTTATCGATGCAACGAACATGATGTTAAGTAAACTCCGGAGCACAATAGAAGACAGGAGGGCCTGGTGTGATGTGGTCCATGGGGTTGCGAAGAATTGGACTCTACTGTGCGACTAAGCAATAACAACAACAAAACTCTCCAAACTCTGGTTGACTAACCGGCTTGATTTTATCTATTTAATATGGTATTTCAGAAGATACAATAGTCTAAGGATATTTAATGAAGCCAACCATTATTTAGACAAAGGAACATTATCTTTCCATAACTAAACTAATTTTAACACTCAGACTGAATCAAGTAGTACACAACGTTCACCACAGACACTGCATTCAGCCCATGACATCTGTGACATATCGGCTCCAACAGGAATCCAAATGAACAGTCACTCTTCTGCAGTAGGTGAAAGACAAGCCAGAAAGATCCTACACTCATTGTAAAAATCCACAAAAGCTGCATTGCGTGGGAAGTAGTGGACCAGCTGAAGCATCCCAAGAGGTCTGGCCAGCTGGCATCAGGAAGCATGGAGACAAGCCTTACTAACCCCTCACTGCAGAGCAATGTGGAAGTGCCCCAGTTCATTTGGCCACCATCTGACTGATCTCTGAAACTACTTAAGTTTAAGCTCACAGAAGTGCAATCGCAATACAATACAGATACTAAATGAACAGAATACTAAAAATGAAGTGAATATGAGAACTGACTCCACAGAACACTGAAATAATTATCATTACTATTTTAAATATTTCTGCTTACTTGTGGATATCTCACACAAAAAGAAAACTATCTTTCATTTCTGGGCACTTTACATTCATTATGTGCTTGAGAAGTCTAAAGGTGTTTTGTTAGCTTTGGTTCATAGCCGGTTTCCTTGGATTTCAGGCATCTGTATTTACACGCAATTTTCCAATAGCACTTCATGCTTCAGAGGAACTGCTGGGTTGGATTCAAAGAGACATGGGCAGAACTCCACTTGGAGAAGTGCTCTTTTTTGTCACCTCTGTGTCCTACATCCCCTGCTCAGAGTCCCTCTGGGTCTCTGGGGGTCCCTCTGGGAACAGCATGCAATGCCGCTTGAGAGGGGATCTGTGGCGATCACCTTCCAAGCAGTGTTTCTGCCAATGTGCAAACTGCTGTTTTGGATCCTATCCACCGTATGCTCCTTGAACAACAGATTCTTGCTACAGAATATTAACAAATAATATATAGGGTTGGATGGAACAGCACCCTTCTGCTGACAGAATAATCTGCCATTCAAAGAAGCTCTATTTCCTTCTCATAAGGGCATCATTGGAACCAACCCCATAACATCTTTGTTGCCATTTCACATTTGAAGTACTAAAAAGTGACAGTTACTTAACATATGGCCAGCAATTCCTATCTTTACAGAATGTAATATTGGACAGAGGGTCTGCAAAAGTAGCACAGAAACTGGAAAGCATGATGTTCATTTCCATACAAGGAATGGCAATCAGTGCTTTGGAACAAGGTCAGTTGCAGAGATAAGAATCAGTACAAGGTGCCTCAATATCATTTTTTTGTTCTAATAAAAGATTACTCCTCATAGCCAAAACCACTGTATATTTTACTCACCTTGTTGCTTCATCAAGAAGAAGAATTTTTGGATTCTAAAGAACAAAATAAAATGGACTTAGTTGGACAAGATGTAGATTCCTTTAGTGTGTGCATTTTAAGAGAGGAAATTTGAATGTTAAATTCATTAATTTTAACAGGAAGAATGGATAGATGCAAGGTTTATCTTGTTATGAAAACTGTAATACAACATTGTGAAATACTTAGCTTCTGTGATGGCTCCATAATCCCTACTGCTAATATAAGTGCAAAAGGTTTATAATCTACATTTAGTAGGGACATGGAATGGTATCATCCTGGATTGGTTGGATCTCAATGATGACAGAGTACTAATATTTCAGAATAAAAATGTAATATTTTTAATTACATTCATTATTTTATTTATTTATTTGTTTTATTATTTATTAAGTAACAGAGGGAAAAAAGATTCCCCTTCAAAATGGACTCCTTTGGCAACGCTTTTCTTCCATGTACAGATTGGGGTTTCTATTTAATTAAACTACAGTGCCATCTTAAGCAGGTCTACTCAAAACCCTACTCAGGTTTATCAGTGGGGCTTACTCCCAAGAAAATGTTGGCTATATCTATTCTCCTTTTTCTAAAAAATGGAACTAAAGGTTTGTCTGCAGTTTGGCTGACGCTATAGATGTCTGGAAGTGCTGGACAATTATGCCATGCATTCCGTTAACAAGGTGCTGAGTGGCAAAATCTAGGGCATACCGACTGTCTGCATAGAACTGCACTATAAAATATTGCACTTTTGACATTCGAATCAAAATCAATATCTTCCTAGACTCATGAGTGACTGTTCCTGCAAGAACAGGCCAATTGAGAATTGCCTACAGAGCAGATGCTACTAACAATCAGGTTCTACTCTCATACAAAAAAGCAGTACTGCAAAATAATAATAATAATAATAATAATAATAATAATAATAATAACAACAACAACAACAACAACAGACAAGTGTTTCAATATATAGTAAATATTGTTGCCATAAACATATTTCCGACTCCTACTAACCAGCTTTATACACACTTTATAAACCTTGTCCTTTCCTTTAACACAGATATATGAAAATACTCAACTGGTTTCAGCCAGGCTTACCTTGAGAAGAGCTCGAGCAATTGCAATTCTCTGTTTCTGTCCACCTAACATAAAATATTGTTAATAAGGATTTAAAGCGACATTGCCATTTTCTCTCTTAATGAGTATTATAATTGAAAAGTAAGCAGTGACAATTTATCTCCTCTCATTCTGCTGCAGTAGTTTTTAAAAGGCATTTTAAATACATTATTAATGAAACTTAAAACCAGAGCAACAAAAGGACGTTTGCTACACCAATGTGCTCTAAAAACTGTAGTCTTACCTGAGAGAAGAACACCTTTCTCCCCAACTAAAGTGTGGAATCCTCTGGGGAAATTCTGGATAAAATTAGCAGCATTTGCTATTTCAGCAACTCTCTCAATTTCTTTGGTCGTTACCAGAGAAGGGTCCTCTGCACCATAAGCAATGTTTTCAGCAATGGAGCAGGAGAACAGAATGGGTTCCTAATGTATGTAAAAGAACAGTGAGTACAGTACTATAGCTTCGTAATATATGTCCAGATAACACTACAAAGTAGTCCTGTGCCAACAAATTAAGAATACCTGTTTTCCCTAACACTTACTGATGTGTACAGACATGATTTGCAACACTTAAAAAAAAAAGGTTACAGAACAAATTTTAAGCTACATTTTACACAATGTAAATACACCTGTGCTGTAAAGTTGCAAAATATGACAGGAAAGCTAATGACTTAACATTTAGAATACCACATATAACTACAGAGCTCAACTATTTCAAATATAGTAATTCAATCAGTACTGTCAAGTAGTGTCAAGTAGTTTGCCAACGTAAGTGGTTGTTCTCCAACATAAGTGGTTCAGTTAGCAGTACTAACCGGTGCTATCATTAGCAAAAAAAATGTAGAAAGAGAGATCTGGTACTTGACTGGAAGGTTTTTTAAAAAAAGGAAAAAACATACTACTCATCTCAAAAACTTTGTCCATTATGTACAACAGATTTAAATATGTCCAGTAAGTGCTTTTAAAGGGAGTTATCTTCTTACCTGACTTACAGTTCCAATTTTAGTCCTGAACCACAGAGGATTTAGCTGACGAATGTCAACACCATCAACAGTAATAACTCCTGTTAAACAAAGCAAGAGATTATTGTTATTTAATAATATAAATATCAGGGGTGGGAGAGAGAAATTAGTTTGAACAGAGATTGAAAGACAACACGCTGTAAGTCATTTTATAAAACAGCAGTGCTTATTATTAGGAATATTAGCTCCTTTATGTACTTTCAATACGTAACAGGCAAAACATCACTGTATACCAATCGCCTCTTTAGTGACATCTATCTTGAGAAAGGAATGATGATTCATGCTAATAGTTGTCAGATCCAACTATTTCAGAGTGTTGTGGTAACAGAAACATTATCTAAAGCATAGATAATGATCTAGTACCTGTAGCAGAAAATGATGTAGGTCAGGGGTGTCAAACATGCGGCCCATGGTCCGGATCAGGCCCCTGGAGGGCTTCTATCAGGCCTGTAGTGGAACTGGGTGTCTCCTGCTTCTTCTTCCAGTTCTGCTGCTGCATCCTAGTTTGCTTTGCCAGGCTCTCTCAATCACTCAGAAGAGATAGATAGGCAAGCTTCTGTTCCCTGCACTGACTGAGGCTCCTCCCTCTTCCCTCACAGGAGGAGAGAGGGAACAAGCCAGAGCTTGCTTCCTGACCAGGCTGCCTCAATCACACAGGAAAGAAAGTCAAGCCTTTCTTCCCTTTCATTGGCTGAGGCTCCTCCCCAGAGGGAGGGAAGGAGGAAGAGCTTACTTTGCTTGGCTGCCTCAGTTGCAGGGGGAAAATACAAAGCAACTTTAAGATCAACAAAGTTTTGTCCCAGGTATGAGCTTTTGTGTGACTTGCTACAGGGTGTGCATTTTGTTGGGCATGTTATGCTGTGGCTCTCCTGGGTGCAACTGGGTTCCCTCCTCTTTTTCATTGTCTTGATGCTGTCATGATCCAATCTTGCTCAGTAGAAAGCAATGTGAACTATTTAGATGAGGAACAACAACAAGCCAGTGATGTGGATTAAGCTGAGGCTATATGTCCAGACCAAGTTCATCCAGCACATTTCATTTGGAGATTTTGAACTTAGACTTCCCAGATAGTAGGCTGATACTGACCACTGAGGAAGACTCTAGTTTTGTAGCCCTCAGTCTGTGTCATGGTGCCTTCTCATGTTCTTGACCAGCACACAAAGCAATTTATGTACAAAAGCTCACAATGCCCAGACATTTCATGTTTTCCCCTGGGTCCTAGGCTCAGAACTCTGAGTATGAGATTTCTGTAGTGAATGTCAATAAATCAAAAGTAGGTTTGCAGCTTACAGATACACACTTGAACAGCATATTGCAACAGCACAGACATTTTAATGCAGTAATTCAGAGCAAGAGGTGTCAGTCATCAGACACTATTAAATAAACAAAATATTGCAAGAGTGCTAATGTTTTAAGCATGTTTTTATTTTAAGTAAAAAAAATCTTTGTGTTTGTGTCCTTTATAAAGTTTATATGTCCGGTACGTGGCATCACATTTTATGACACACATGGCCCAGTCCATCAAGGGTTCATTTATGTCAGATCTGGCCCTCATAACACCCCTGATATAGGTCTTCTGGACAATTTAGCATGCTTATGCAACTCAAAAAAACAAAGCTAATAAAGAATCTACCACTTAGTTTTAAGTGATGTACAAATATCCCACAAGTTTTTCCAATAGCAAAAAACAGTTGAGTTGATATACTGGACGTGTGTGTGTACTTATTGTGGTTTAAGTGTTATATTAAAAACCCTCTAAACTTTAGTTGGAAATTATTTTAATAGAAATTCTTGTACATATATCCAAAATGTTGCCTCAAGATAAACTGTATACTGTAGAGTTGCTAGGTCCCCTCATCGCTCCGGTGGGGGGATTTGGGGGGCGTTCCAGGGGTGGGTGAGGACGCCTCCAAGCCACAGCCACCCCTCGCTCTCCCTTCCTGCAGAGATTTAAAGGGCATCAGCTGATCGGTGGGGAGCACGTGGCCCGCTGATTAGCTGGAGAGCCCTTTAGATCTTTCATTAAGGAGGGAGAGCGGCTGTCACCAGCCATAGCTCTGCTCGCAAAAGGGTCTTTTTGTGAGTGGGGACAGCAGCACATGGGGCTAATTTCCCAGCTGTGATTTGCCGCTTGGGATTCAGGCCCATGCACCACCACCCCACTCACTGTGGGGCTCACAGTGTTTCTTGAAAATAAATTAATAGTGCAGTCCTAAGAACACTTTCCTGGAAGTAAACCCCATTGAAAGGACCTGAGTAGGACAGACAGCCCCTCTCCCTCCCTGCTGAAAGATTTAAAGGGCCCTTCAGATGATCAGTGGGCCATATGCTACCTACCAATCAGCTGAAGCCCTTTAAATGTCTATAGGAGGGGAGATAGAGGGGTGGCCACTCCAGGGATGGGGCTTCCCCTGCCAGCCAGCTGGCTGGCGGCAGATTGGAGCCCCCAGAAGTAGGGGAATCCCTGCCCGGACCTGGGGTTGGCAACCCGAGTATACTGCAAACCTGAGCTCAATATGTTTCCCCAGACCCACGTCACTGTTTTTTCTTCTGCATTAATGAATAAAAAACACTCAGGACCAAGAATTTCGAAAATATTTCTACTAGATAATCTTTGCTTTCAAGAGCCATCAGCTGATGCCCCTTCCTAATGATTAGTACTGCATTGCCTTGCAACAAACCACATCATCTGGATGTCACTGCATACAGGCAGCTATGCAAGTTAGCAAGGCAGCTATTCCTTCTCAAGAGGAAAACAGCATAAGGAACACAGCTTTGGTCCTGAGCCCAAAGTGTATTTATTATTCAGAGTATAGACACACACACACACACTTGCTTACTTACCTGAGACTGGATCATAAAGCCTAAGCAGGAGAGATACAACCGTTGACTTGCCAGAGCCACTTGGGCCAACCAATGCCATGACAGAGCCTGCTGGGATTGTAAGGGTAAAGTCCTGGAAAACTAAAGCTTCTGCACGAGTTGGATATGCAAACTGAATGTTTCTAAACTCCAGTGCACCTCTGAAAGTATCCTGGTTTAATACTATTCCCTCTGAAATCAAAATAAAAATAGAAACAACAACATTAGAGATATACCACCCATAAACACTGCGGCATAACATCTCTTGCAAGTTCCATTCCTGCGCATATAGGAGAGACAAAGATACTCAGCCTTCCTGGATCCTCTATCCAGCCTAGCTTCCTCATTTTTATTTTGTTCCTGGGTTGCTGCCACCCAATAGCCTCAAACAGTATCTCCTGCTACAGGGCTAACGTTTCTGCACTCTTTACTCCATTACTATTAAAAGACTCCACTCTGCGACTACGTATCCTGCTTGGCTCCCTCTCTGGCAGCTGCAGAGACAGAAACACATACACACTCTGGAGACTTCAGTCCTGGCTTCTCCTGGGTATGCATGTACAAACTGGGCATGACTTGATTCCTGAGATCATACCAAGAGCACCTCAATTAATAAAGAGTTTAATAAAGTCATAGAAGCACATGCATGCCTATTTACACAACAAATCTGAGCAAGCATTAAAAAGAAAATTGGTATAACTGCAGCTCTTCTGACCCTATTCTTTTCTTTTCTTAAAGAATCTTAAAGGAAGGATGGGTTCTTAATTCTCTGTTTAGCTGCATGTGGTCATTACTGCCACTGGGGGAAAAAAACTAACATCTGAGCCAAGAATGCAAAGATGACCTGTCTCTCTTCTGGCTGGGGGTAGGGTTGCCAGGCGCCCCCTGGCAAGGGATGGGGGTGTAGGGTTGCCAGACCCAGGTTGGGAAACTCCTGGCAATTTGGGGGTGGAGCCTGGGGAGAACAGGGACCTCAGTGGGGTGCAATGCCATAGAGTCAACCCTCCATTTTCTCCAGGGCAACTGATCTCTATAGTCTGGAGATGAGTTGTAATTCCAGGGGATCCCCAGGCCCCGCCTGGAGGCTGGCATCCCTAGGCTAGAGTCTTTATATCCTTTCATTCTCCACCTTCCCTAATGGTGAATTCACCAGCTTTCCAGTTTTCACAGGACGTATCCATTTGAGCTAAGGTGTCACTCTCCCTACTCTCTCTGATCTTCCATAGGGCTAGGTGGTCTGCACCTGTATAGCTACTTTGCTGGGAGATGTGTCATCCCCCTCCTGAGTCTCTTCCCTTTGTGTTCAGGCAGCCAGTAAAAGGCACTTAGAAACCTCTAAAGCATGGATGAACTACAAACCCATTTATAGTAGGCTTTGATGGGAAGTCTGGAGCGTAGGGCATTTTCTTCACAAATGTATTTGCTGGCGAAGACCCACTCCAAAGTTCCCCCAAAGTGTTTACTGAGTGGCTTGACTGCACTGCAGTCTGTTGTGTCAGATCCCAGGAACAAGAACAAAGGACACAGGGTAGTTTGCAGTGATTCTTCGATGTTTATGGATTTGGGTAATAAGGTAATCAGGACCAACCTGCCCACAGCACAAACGAACTGTGTGCCCCAGTTGCCACTGTCAACACCAACTACACTAATATTCCACTACTAAGAGAGATTCTAAAAATTCCACATACCCTTACTGCTTATGATCATGTTGGGCTAAAGCCACTTATTCCCTTTCTACTCCCTCCCAAGTCTCATAATATAGCCCCAGTAGGCAGAATGACAAAATGAACAACAACAGGACAGAAGCAGAATTGCCTTGGGAAGTACACAGAGGCAAACTCCAGTTAAGGACCATCAGCCTCCACATCAAGTCTGAAATCCAGACCTCCTGGGAACCTCAGCTGTACATGCTGCTACTGGCTGAGAGCTAATGGTCTTTCCTTTCTGTCATGGCTAAAAAACTTAATTTGCAAATTGCTTTTACAGCTCCTACACTGGTTATCTTCATGACCGAGCACAATAAAGTTATTTCCTTATTACAGGAAACAGATAGTCAAGGGCAAAACAACACTAACTTGCCCAACACGCAAAATTAATCCATGCAAGAGTGGGACTTGAACCAACGCCTTCCACATTCAAGTCTCTCCCTGTGCACCTGAATGTATTAATGTTATGAGACATTAAATGGCACTGTCGGACCCTCTGTACATCTGGAAACTGCTTGGTATATATGTCAAAAGCAGTGTATAAATATTTTCAATAAACAAATAAATAAAAATGCAGTAATCACAGTGGCAGCAGCTAATTCACTACATAAAGTAATTGACTTCCTTTTGGTGTTGATGGATCATACACTGTGCATCTTGTTTGCCAATTCATTAATACCACTTGGATCCCTGGATGATATCACTTTCATTTGTGCTGTCTAGTCATCTCTTCCATTGGGTAGCCTTTTCACCTTATAGCAGGGTTACCTGACATGGCAGCCACCAGTACTTCCCCGATGCCCACCAAGCTTTTCAGAAAGTGGGCAAGCCCATTGCAGGGCAGGGCTTGTAACTGGCTGCCCTTATTCAGATTATAGGGTTTTCCACAATTACAATAGCAGCCACAGTTACTGGATTATCAGGAGGCCTGGTAAGCATACAGCCTTGTTGTTTCATTCCCCCTTCACTTCAGACTATATTTTTATCTCACTTTTCTTTCTCCTCCTTCCCACCTCTGGCTTTCCTTCATTTCTTTTTATTCCCCTTCCACAATTCTTTTGCAAAGTGAGGAGGCAGGTTCTGTGTTTGGCTCCACATCCTGTGGCAGCCATTTTGGGATGGTGCTCGCCACCACCCTGCCAAATTTCAGAAGTGCCTGCAGGCTTGAAAAGGATGGGAACCTTGCCTTATACTGTGAAAGCATTTCCTCCATTCCCAGTCCCCATGCCCAAGCATACCTACTCAGGTTGCCACTTCATACATATAACAAGTGAGCTGATATCAGCTTATTTCACAAGAACTTAGTCTTTAATGTGTCACAAGACTTGTTTTTGCCGCTAAAAAACCAATGCGGTTCTCTCTTTAGAACATTTATCACACAAAATTTTTATTATTGTAGTAATTGTACTGCAACATTTCTGAGGAGAAATATAGTTAATTTATGAAAATATAAACTGTTTAATTTTACTTAAACTATTTTTGAACATTATACAAGTTTTAAAAACTTGCAAAATTGTAATGATGTAAAGAACATACCATTAAAAGGAAGTTCTGGCTTTCTATCAATAAGTTCCCACAAACGTCCTCCTGCACCTAATCCTTTCATTAGCTCTGAATAGAAAGAGCTTAAGCCTTAAAAAAGGAAGGGGAAAAGAAAAGCCTATTGTTATGCATGAGCAGGAACATACAGGACATGCAGACTGGCATAACTTCAATTACTGAATGCCTATTCAATCGATTCTATGAATGCACAACCTGAAAAACAAGTCCAGCACATTTGAAAGTCCAGACGAACATTTAAAAAACAGATTTTAAGCAGTCAGTCTGTACAGTTAAAGAGAAGTGATATTAAAGCCAAACACTCGCATGAAATGTGACTGCAAATCATTACTATATGACTATCAACAGATTCAGAAATCCAGTTGAACTAGCCATAAGTGGAAAAGTAGGCTGCACTAAAAATGGTGCCATGGCAGGGAGAAACTGTCTAAAACCCCATCCCCTAATTTTTCTAGCAGCTATGGGGGCAGAAACACTGCTTTTTTCCCCTTTCAAGATAACAGTGAGACAAGTGGTTTTATTTTTATCATTGAAACCCATACAACTGAGCCATGATCCAAACTGGGGCACTGTATAGCTACCATTAACTTTTTGCAAAAAAATTCTAGGAAGACCTGATCACAGCTCTCTGATCATCATGGGTTGGATTCCAGTCTATGCTGCTTTTGGTGCGTAACAATCCATGGTGCGGGGTGTGTGTGTGTCTTTCCCTCAAAGCAGGGTGTTAGCATTCCAGACAGTTAAGAGCACAACACAGAAATTTTTGAAAAAGCAAGTTGCATGAAATAGATGGCCATGGTGCTACAGGAAAGATGGTAATCTCTGCCATGATCATTACAGCCTCTGATTTATTTCATCTGAATGCTGCTGGAATGGTACAAAGGGAAGCACTCAGCCTTTAATGGTAAATACAGATGTGCATTTTTAAAGAGGACGTGGGTTTCCCCCCCAAAACCAAGGCCTCCTTTATAACCTGTGCAAATGTACATACCAGATCCCCAGTGTGAAGTCTCATTGCATCCACTTGCCTCCACTCATACCAGCAGGCTGACTGCTGGGGCATAAAATTTCTCCTGTTCGCTTTCTCATGTGCATTCATGTTGCATTTAGCAATTTGGTGCACTGTTATACTAGTTATGATTTATTGTTACCTTAGTTGTACATATTATTGGAACACATTCATTACGTTTAATTAGTAGGCTCAAAGTGGTTTAATTGGATGCTTTCCCACATACCCGTTAAACCCTTCTATACTTTTGTCTTGGCAGTTTGAAGGGCTTCCTCCTTTCTCACTCTCTTTAAAAAAATAATAAACACCTGAAAATGCTTTTAAAAATGCTTTAAATGCTTTAAAAATCTCTTTTAAAAAATAATAAACATCTGAAAACATCCCAGAAAATCTACAGCAACTAAAGCAATCTGAAAATGCTGTCTGTGATCTAAAGGGATGAATGGAATGAGGAGGAGGTGGTGGCGGCAGAACAGGAGAATGTACCTGAGAGGCTTTCTGGGTGTTGAAGAAAATTGTTGCTTGAAAAGATTCTTGGGAGGAGAGGCAAACATATCCCCTCCCCCCCAACAATTTATATGGAAAGTAACCACCACAGGAAAAAGTTTGTTGGCACTGAGAACTGCAAATGCATACCCAATGTGTGTCTACTGTTCTTAACATGCACATCTGTATGTACCCTGTCAGGAAAGATAATTTAAAATAAATTTCCAAACACCATGAGGAGAAATAAAATGTGATGTTGGATAACCAGTAATGAGCCTGTGACACTTGAACAAATTACAGTTCAAACAGCACTTGCGAGTTTGAGGGGAGTACACAGGACAAGAGACAATCTAATTTAGCCAGTACATGTTCTCTGACAGTTGTGAAAAACAGCTGGGGAAAGATGTTTACAATGTTCTATAACAAGATGTGCTAATTTGGAAAATCCTTTTTAGATCCTGAAATATGGCATGCTACTAAGTAAGAGAGTAAGTCATCTGGAGAGGCCCCTTCAAAGGATATTCAGTGAAAAGATGAATATAAGGAGGTCCCAGCACTTGTAAAAGCAGCTCAGGTGTTATTTTGCAAAACAAAAAAGGCACTGTCTGAACGGTTGCAATCAAGGCTCCTTTGAAAAAAAAAGTTATGCCCCCCCAGAACAAACCCTTCTAAAATCTCTAGGGACATTTATTTTCTTACATGCCTATCTGCAGCTGTCATGTCTCTTCTATAAAGAGGAGTTAACTTCTGTGTTAAGAGATTAGGGGTTGTATCTGCAATAATGGTAGAAAGTAACAAACAAGATAGTTTTTAAATGAGCTGACAGTGGTGTAGGAAGCCCTATTTCTTTTGTCTTGCTATTACCTCTAGTTCAATAGCTTTTGCATATTTCTGAAGCATGACAAAACCCTGCAAAACTGGTTTAACCAGAGATGATCAAGCAACAAGTGTAAACATTTGTAGGAATAGTGTTTTTACATTATGCGTTTAGCTCCTTTAAATTAGCTGCTAGCTCTAGAAAAATCTAATTATTAAAGAAAAGTTATTTTAGTAAATTAGGAAGTAATCTGAGCACACATATTGTCCCTTGCCTGCAAAAACGAAGTTGTCTGGATATTTCAGCATTGGCTCAGATGACCCAATAAATGCTGAATAAATTACCTTCTAGTATGCTAAATGGGGTCAGTGAATTGGCTCATATTTGTATGATTACAGCCAGGATTAGAAAACTATGTGAACATCCTATTTATTTTCCCCAATCAAGTTTTCACAGATGCATAACTGTGACTCAGCTGTAGTATAGGGACTAAAAATAATCTGCGTCTCAGAATGGGGAAGGCTTCAGGTATTAAGATATTCCTACAGATGCAATTATGGTAACAGCTAACGGAATAACTGCTATACAATACTGCCTCATTACATAAACCACTGTTGCTGTGTTTATCCTAAAACTGTTATTCAAAAATAGATATGGGTGCATGTTCATTTAATTTCTGACAGTTAGAATGAACTCAAATGCATGTTACTTATTAGTCTGTCAGACAGAAGAAAAATGAAGTCTATTGATTTTACACACTGCATACTTTAAAAATCTGTACTTTGAAAAGTTTTCTACATCTTTCATAAACTGTGAAAATGCATTTAATCTGCACAATGCATGCAGGTTGCAGAACTACAGTTTGTTCTACCATTGATACAGTTTTATTTACAGTAATTTATTTTTGTTTGGGAGAGGAACAAAGAATTATGACAGGTAATGAAGTTGGAAACTTTGTCCAGTCACCCCTGACTTGAGGTCTCAGCAAGCACCACCCATTTCCAAGCAAACCTTTGCAACTATAGGTGACACAAATTTTTTGAAAGGAAAGAGTCTCAGAAAGCTGAATTCTGTAACTAATATCACATTCCATAGGCTCTCTCTGTTTCTGTGAAATTGCAGCATACATACAAGGGTTACCTACTGATGCAAACTCTTTATAAGGACTCTATGTATGTTGCTTCCAGATTCATTCATATCAGCGATATCACTTTCAAGGACCCCAAAGTACTAATTTTCAGGTAACGGAATGCAGTAATTTTCTGGCAGACTACCCAACTGGCAGTAATAAGCTATGGGCTAAGAGGAGAGGTTGTCTCCAAAACAGATACAGGGCTACAATCTCTTCATAAAATGTTTGTAACAATTGTTTCACACACTCATGGCCACTTATGAACTAGCACCTTGCCTATGTTAATTTTTATTTTTAAGGATTAAAAAACAAGTATACATTTTCTGATCCATACCTCCAATGCTTATGCCAACCCAGAAGGCGTACATTAAAAAAGAGGATAGTTCACCAATAGTCATGTGTGCACTGCCCATCAGCAATCCTCCTTTGTACAGAACAGTGAGCACAATCAAGTTGCCAGATAGCCCAGTCTAGAGGGAGAAAAAGGGAAAATAATATGTACTGAAAAGGTAACAAAAATAATACAATCCTTTAAAGCTGCTTCTTCTAAAACACTCATATTCAAGAACTTGCATTTGAAAATCCTTATCTTCTGGCTTGCAACAAAGCTGTGTAATGGACTGGGGGTGGGAATCACCTTAGCGACTTTGACTGCCAAAATTAAAAAAGACAGAAGGCACAAACACCTTTGTCCATAGTCCTTTTAAGAGATATAGTTGGACAAGGGCATAGCAGTTAGTCAAAGGTAACCTATAGGAGTAGGATCGAGATGGGTAACCGTGTTTGTCCATCTGTAGCCGCAGGAAAGACAAAAGCTCATACCCTGCCACAAATTTCGTTAGTCTTAAGGTGCTACTGGACTCTTGCTTTTTTTCTACTGCTATAGGAATATGAATGAGAAGACATATCCAGTACCTTAACTCAATTAAACTTTGAAAGTTATATTTGAAAACCAGATCGTAACTTTAGTATTTCATGCACTCCACGTCGTACCTGGGCTGTTCCTCTGCTCTGCCCATTCTGGGACCAAATACCCTGTGTGTTTATTAGTTATAAAACCATTAGCCCTGCTAAAGCTGAAAAGTCTTCAAACATTTCCCTTAAGAAATATATCCTTAGCCCCCAAGTTGCACTTAGGATAGACCGGGGACACTCACATCTGGTGAAAGAGCAATTTAAAAGGGAAACTGCAGCCAGGTAAGTACAATATAGATCCAGAATTTCCATTTAAAGAACTCCTATCCCTAAGTTTACCTGTTACACTCAGAGGCATTTAAGAAGCAGTCTGAGAATTCTCTAAGGCAGCTACATAAAGGTGTGGCTAATGCTAACATGGAAGCCCTCTATAAAAAGGTAATCCATGATCATGTCAGGTCCAGACTCAAGAGATACAACTCCCACCTTAAAGGCTTACAGTACCCTTACAGAAAATTATTTCCAATAATGTTAAATTACAGATAGAAATTGAGTACAACAGTGTGTATTTCACACACATCCACAAACTCATGAAAAGCCAGAGCCATTACACAAACATTGTGGATTCCTCACCTTCTTTATATACTTACTGCTCCAAAGAATCCTGCTCGAGCTATTGCTTCTTTTTTGGCCAACTGCAGTACATAATCAACTTTGCTCCTATATTTCTCCATTTCATTTAATTCTTGCCCGAAAGCTCGAACTGTTCGCAAATTTCCAATCCGTTCTTCTGCTAACTGTAACACATTTTTTAATGTAATTCAGCTGGCTCACCTTCTGGCTTGCTTGAAAACAAGATCAGAAGAACTTTCTCATTCTTGTAATTGAATTTAAAAACTATACTCAAAGCTGGTACAGATTTCTGTTGGTGTTTACCTAAGTGCTTCTAGCATAATACAATGAGATATGGCTGAACTTCCACCTTTTTGCACTCCAGGAAACTGGAGCAAGGATTGAGATAACCTCAGTGGGGGGGGGTGTCCTTAGGCCACTGAACTGCAGCACGAGTCATGCAGGGTGATTGCCTAATGGTTCAAAGTTCACAGAGAACCACTGGGGGGGAGGGGAAAGTCAATGCAGATACACGTTTACTTTAGTATCACAATAGTATAAATACAAACCACGCCATGAAGTCTGGATGAAGAAAAGCAAGAAGGAAAATTATACTCCAACAACAAAGGAGTTAACTTCCTAGCTCAGCTTTTGCTTCCTGTTATAAGGGGAAGGAATGAAAAAGACTGCACCCTCTATGCCTCAGCCTTTATGATCTATACCCATCGTTACCTCCTCTTCTTTAAGTGAACTTTTGTGCCTGAATCAAGACATATTTAGGGACTGGAATGCCCTTAAAATAAAATGTACCTGACCACAGGCAAAATGCAGATAAAAAGGACTTTGACCGAATATTACCTTACATTAAAAAATTTTTTTAACAGAGTAAGGGTCCACCTGTGTTGCTTCCGCAAGGGAATCCTGTGTCATTCTAGTCAGTTTTCGTAAATATCTTCCATAAATCACAGCTATGACAGCCAGAGGTGGCACCACACTCAGAACAAACCAAGCAAGTTTGGGAGAAACGAAAAACTGCAAAGTAAAAGCAAAATAGTTTCAACATTGTAATGCAATTAAATACTCTCCACTAGATCTATGAATTAAACACTGTAACGTGGCATAGTTTCCCTGTGAAACGTTTTGTAGAAGTTTTTTAAAATTATTTTTCATTATCAACATTTCAATACATCAGGGACAGGAAAAGATCCGTCTTCTAAACACAGAGACAAGGTAAGAATTGATGAAGTGAAAATTTCCAACTACTGCTGTTCAGTAGTATCATTTACAACCATGCTACAATAGTTATCAAACACCATAAGCAATATTTGTACCCAGAAGAGGAGAGGTTACAACAGCAAACATAGCCAACACTCCCTTTCATCAGCAAACACCACCCAAGTTGCATGATGAAATTGCACCACAAATGGGTACTGTGAAACAACAATGCCATCCAGCTATAGGTTTGGTGGATTATCATTTTCTCACACATGTGATCTCCTCCCACCTCTAGTCACAGGGAACAAGGCACTCGGATGCCTGCAGTGCAACACGTGCAGTAAAAATGAAGAACCCCACATTCCATTTCTCAGTCCTGTGATATCTGAGGGCCCAACTACTTGACTTTGCTCCAAAATGCAGGCAATTTAGTGTTTAAAAAGCTCAGCGGGTGCCCTCCTACTGATGAGGAATCATGCATGAGCAGAAACAGTTCTTCCATGTGGACCTATAGATCCAACCTCATGTATCACAGTATTTGTTCCACTGTCAAAATTTTAGACAATGTAGAGATGTGTGACAATTCCAGTATCACTGACAGGAAACAGGTGGTGAAGTGTGATTTTCCTTGACATAGGAAAGATGTGCAGGAGGAACAGAATCCTGGATCAAGCACAGCTCCCTGTCTGTGCGACCATGTAGTCATCTCTCTCTCTCTCTCTCTCTCTCTCTTTTTTTTAATATTTTTTAAATATGTCTGTGTGTGTGCAATGCGCATATGTGTGCACCTGGAAGTCATGGTGACTTCTGGTGACTGACCCCTACTAGGGGCCTGGAGGATATTCAGAGAAGTGGATGAATAAAGCCTACCCCCACCTCCGGTATTCCAAGGAGGTCTCCCATTCAAGTACTTGACAGAGTCGACTCTGCTTCGCCTCCGAGATCTGATGAGATCGGGCTTGCCTGGGCTATCCAGGTCAGGGCCACGTAGTCGTCTTTTATCCAATACATTCTTAATGTGTGTACCATCTACATAGCTTCACAAATGAACTGTTGAATACCCTACATGCTAGGCACTTTGAATCTGCAGAACGAAAGGAGGTAAAGTGATAAGAACAAGGAAGCACATACCATCATCCCAATCCCAACTGAAACCTGAGCCACAGCTCTTAGCCCATCAGAAAGGTTTTCAGTGACTGAACGGCCCAAAAGAGCAGTATCAGAAGATAAGCGATTGATCAGTTCTCCAGTGCTGGTTTTGTCAAAAAAAGCTACTTCTTGTTTCAAAAGAGATGAAAACATTGTTGTTCTCAGTCGATTCACAATTCGTTGTCCTATAAGGGTCAAGAATGTGCAAATGATTAGCAACCTTATGAATTCCCAAAAGGATCTGCAACTGATCCCATGTCAGAAAGGCAACAGAAAATATGCTGGTTGGAATAGCAGGATATACACTGCAGAATTGTACTGTTCCCTGCAGTTAATATTTGGACAAAGAATAATTACAAAACAAGTTAGATCATCTACATGTCTTAGCAATTCATATAAAAACCAAGAATGTCACCTGGCAGAAAAAATTATTTCAGAAATGTATAACTCGCTGAGAAAAAAACATACTACGTATTTTCCATCTACTGTAGTAGAAAAAGCCACAATAAAACTGATTTGTTTTCTTTAAAAAATCAAGCCACAGGTGTTATAAGGTCAATTAATTCTTGAGATCCTGAGAATTTTACCCGGCTTTTAAAGGTTTTTTTAGAAAGAAAATATTGACACATATTTGAGCTTTCTTCAGCTATTTGTCACTGTTGTTTTTATGGTTTTGGTTTTACTGTTTTAATGATGTGTTTTTGTTCAGTTTTAATGGCTTTAAACATGTGCTTTAATTTTGTATGTTTTTAATTTAGCAGCCTTGGTGGCCTTGATGAGGACAGAAAGGAGGGGTAATTTTGTACATTAAATAAATATCTAACCCCACCAGTAGTGTTAAAAGAAAATGGGGTCAACATAACACCTTTGCTCATTTTCATATAATAAATTTTAGTAAATGAAATTGATACTCACTGCTCTTCCAAAAACATGCCAATAATTAACTTCTGCAGGCTCACTTTTGCAAATCCTAAGGTGGACTGATACCAAATAAATTTTACTTGCTGCATTTGTGTATAAAATACAAATTTCAATAGTCCAACTGCAAAGATTTACTTAATTAATTCAGTCTGCCTGATTTCTTTAAATGTTTATTTTCATAGCTTTCCCACACTGCTAGTTAGATACCAGTTGATGGATCCCATTTTTCTTAAACTCTTTGGAGAGAGAGTAAGACTACTGGCATCTTAGAGACTAATTTTTATTATTTTTAAACCATAAGGTTTTTATAGGCTACATATTCATTACCTGACATCTCTGATGAATGAGCAGTCAATCTACAGTTTGGATCAAGACCACCAGCAGCACTATGGGTGTGAGAATTTCCACCTGCAGACTATTACTTTCTTGCCTCCCCCTCCCACTGTGGCCCCAAATGCCCCCAAAAAACTGTTGGGGGGGTCCCTGTCAGTAGCAAGCAGCATTTCAGGCTGCAGCTGGGGCTGCAAAGGGAGGGAAAGGAAGATAAGAAAATTGTACTCCATGGCAGAAATCCTACAGCTCACAGAAATGCTGCTTTGGGCCCAAACCAGCATGGCCTGTCAATTTTCAAGAACTGGATTTGCTAGAATAGTCGCACTTTTTAAAAAAAGAGATCATGACGGACTTTACTTATAAATACATCCTTCATTATCTCTTTTTTTAAAAGTGCAGCCATTCTAGAACAATCAAGTTCTATCCAGATATATGATTAATTGAACTCTGTTCTCAACCTGGGGCTTACATGCAAACAGTGGGAAAGAACCCTATTGGTTCTGGCCAGGATTTAAAGGATCCTGTGTTCCAAGCACAAACGTATGCCTTTCAGACCCTGCCAATTGCCAACATTCCTGAAGGCCAGGGGACCTTTCTGAATGGCATTTAACACAACATGCGGAATTATAATGGGAAAAGAAAGGTGGCAAACATGCAATTACACATCTCTTCCTACAGAAGTGCTTTACTCTTGGTCCCCATTTGTAACAGATTATGTAACCAACATCTGGTTGAACTCTTGTTTGGGTACAATCTCATACTAACTCTCCATGAAACTGATCCATTTCAGGAAAGGCATGAGCACCTTAACAGAACAGAACAGAATGCCTCTGCCTTTTAAAAACAGTTTATGCCCATTAGTTCTTTTTAACATTATTGTTAAGAATCAACATTAACATTATTGAGGCCATGATAGGTTAACTGCTAATGGGCTTCCTTGTCTTTAACTGCTAATGGACAAAAATCTAGTATTAATGAAAGTGGAATGCAAGACCATCAGCATTACTTGGATCTGAAAACCGTTTCCAAACACTTCTCCATTGCAGTCCAACCAGATCTACAAACATGTAGCGTAGCTCTCCCCCATCACTTGCCATGGATGAGGATTTAATTAATTCACCTGTGTCATTTTCCCAGTAGGGAAATGTTGTGGCTGCTTGAAAGGCTGACACATTCTCTACCCAACATATAATTTACGTTTAGAGGTAAAGACTAACAGAGCGCTTCACCTATATTAAAAGGTGATCACTTAGGCACTAGAATTAATGGTCTCACAATGTTAAGATTTTCTTTGTACTGAGTAGTTTAAACTAGGAACTCTTTTCACCTGGCTTCACAGTATTTGAATCACTGATCTGAAATTAGCAGAGCCACAGCATATGTACGTAAAGCAGAAAAGCGATGGGATTTCTGAATACCAGCACTATGTATACAACATGCTAACAGCCTCTACAAAGTCCCCCGAAGCCTACATTCTCAAGTTCTTGCCATACACATTAGTTACCTGTTAAGAATGTAGGATCGAAAAAACAGAAGGGACTTTTCCCACCTCCCCACAGCATGCATGCTGATGAACAGGAATTCTAATCTACACCAGCAATTTGACAGTACAGAATTAGGGAATGGCAATTCTCCCAATTAAACCAAAGAACATAACCTTAAATGTGTGACCTGAAACTTTTTTTCAGCCAATTCAACAAAAGAGACAGAAAGGTTTAGTTGTTTTTGTTGTTGTTGTTGTTGTTGTTACCTGCAGTCTGCATGAGGTAGACACGGGTTGCATTGGCGGCAGCACCACAGAAGAATATTCCACTTAGCAAGGCACAGAGGTTGGATAGGTTGTCAGTGAAATCACCAGAGGGGTTTGTGTAAATGACATCAATAACCTTCCCCAAGAAAAAAGGGGCAGACATAGTGATGACACTGGAGATGGTCAGAAAACCAACAGCAGCTAAGAGGGGGAAATAATAAATTTTACATTAAAAAAAGAACAAGCATTATGAAATATTTTCTTCTTTATAGTTAATTTGTTCCATGTTAGATTAACATGGGTAAGTTCTGCATAAGACATCACTTCCATTGTGAAATGCATGTGGAAGGTCTAGTAACGCCCAGTTCAACAAGTGTGTTAAGCAGAGATAAAATTATAATGAAGAATTACAGTAATTTGAACAGATCCAGCTGCTGAATATACTGATTCAAGAATCTCATGATCAAGAGGCAGTACAGAAAATAAAAGAATACTGAATTACTGATAAGTATAATGCAATTAACAATAAATCCATAGCTACCTCTTTCATAAAGAGCCAGCATTATTTAGTGGTTAAGATCAGACAAGGCCTGGAAAGATCCAGATTTAAATGCCTCCTTGCCATGAAAGTCGCTGGGAGACTTTGAGCCTTTCACTCTAACTCATTTCATTGGGTTGTTGTGAGGACAAAACTGAGGACTGGTGAACTCTGTGTGGTGCCCTGACCTCCTTTGAGGAACAATGGGGGGGAAATGGATTAAATAAATAAAGTTTTTTAGCAGATACTGAGAAATAAAGCCAGGCTGAGGCTTCATAAAGGTTTGTAGGAAGTTACCGGAAAATGCCAGCAGTTCAGTATTACGATCACACAAACACAGGGGAAAGCAACAGTGATGTGTTAGGTAGAAGAACTGGTTCAGGTTTGTTTTTAACTTAAAACAAAACTTTCAACCCAAAAATCCAAAAGCTGCAACGAATTAATTAGCAAGACCCTCTACAAATCAAGCTCCACCTCATGCAAGTTTTTCACAAGAAGCAGGAAAAAGTGGACACATTACTCCACGTTAGAGATGCTCTACCTGGAACTGAGAAGGCAACAGGGCAATTCATCATAGCTGGGCAGCAAGGAAATAAAGCCACATGCTCAGGTCCTGATGGACAGCACTACCTTTAAACAACCTTAAATACTACCAACTAGAGAACAGATCTTCACCTTTAGGTATCACACATGTATACCATTTCCATTATTTCATGTAATTCTGAAATCAGATGATACTATGAAAACTGTCCTTGCATGTATGTGAAAAAAATACTCTAAAAATCCTACTTACCTCTGCCTCACACACATTTTTGCAGGGGTCATTTCATAGAAAAAGATGTGCAGGAGCTCATTAGCATAACCTATTTGCATATGCCACACCCCCTGACATCACCAGAAGTGTGTCAGAAGGCGACACCCACCACTCAGGCTCCACTGGACTGTTTTGGCTTGCTAGCTATTGTGGGGGGGGGGATGTGCAGATCTGTCTTCACAGAGGAGAGCTAGGGGGGGATGGGGGGGGGGGGGCTCTGCAACTCACCTGGCTGCTTCTTGCTCCTTGTGGCCCGACTGAGGACTGCTGGGAGCAGGGGGCAGGACTTGTTGCATGTGCCCAACCCTGGGCTCCTTACTCCCGGAGCTCTGCTCCTGTGCGCTCCCACAGGAAATGACCCCTGCATTTTTGTGGTCAGTGTTCCCTGGATCTGCTATTGCTTTGGCACCATCCTTGTTTTGACCTGAAAGGGCTTCTTAGCCAATCAAAGATCATGTAATGACCGAGACTAACGGCACAGCACCACACAGTCCCTCAGTTCTATCTATGTACTGTGCTGTTACTGAAAGCAAGTGAACCTTCTCATTGCCCTTAGTCTAAATAGGGATGAGGGTAGGGAAATGATGGGATGCAGCTTCATTTACCAGCCTGTGCGCCTTGTCACACTGTGCTACCATTTTAGCCCCAGAACTGCACCACAAGACTTTTGCCCCAATCCAGCTCTATTCCCCCTTCTTATGCACGGCCAGCTGGAGCAAAGTTTAATTAATTTATTTCCCTTATCCCCAGCTGCTTACAGAAGTCTCCTCCATTTTATCTTCACAACAACCTTGTGAGGTAGGATGAGCAGAGCATGACTGGCCCAGCATCACCCAGCAAGCTTAAATAGCAATTTGGAGATTCAGATCTTGGTCTCCCAGAACCCAGAGTGGATGCATATTTGAATAAAAAATTCCAATAGAAGTAATGCAGCATTAACTTGATGACATCCAGATGTGCATGTATATTATGAATACCATCCATCTGCACTACTTTCACTTGGATTTCCAGTACAGTCAGACAGTATGCATGAGGGTTTGTTTTTTAAAAAACTATTCGAGTCTTCTTTCTGACAGTCTGGAAAACACCATTCACCAAGATACCAAGAGATTTTAGTCCTGTAGAGCTGTTCAAAGGAAGGGGTGGCAGGGGGAGGATTGTGTTAGTAACAGCACGCTCAACCCCTTTGGCACACAACACCTCCATGTGCATTCAGCATGGCCCATCTGCATAGAGGTCTCTTCCCAGAAATTGTAATGTACAGTCACCAAGCTGCACAAGCCATATACCACAAATGATGGGTTCACAGACACTGCCATTTGAATGCGATACAGAAACATCTTTCTGTTTTGAGAACTCTATGCCAAGTATCTACACTCTCAATCCTTCCAGACAAATAGTTTGAATTATATGTACAATATCCTTACACTGTGTAGAAGACACTGAGTTAAGTAACAAAGCTGTTCCTCATGTGAGGTCATAAACAAGAGTGAAGGAGGTTTGTTTGGGGGCAGGGAAGGAAGTAAGGCAGTGTGTGGGTAAAACAAGATGAGTAGAAGAAGAGGAGGAGAATACGTTTAAGAGATTACACTACTGTTGTAGGGGACAGTGTATGGTGCAGGTATTCAGGACACATATGATCAGGTACTACAAGACAGGGCAATTCAACAAAAGAAGGGGGACTGAAAGGGGCTACTGACAGTATAAAATACTCTGCACTGGAAATACGAGAAGGAAAGCTACCTTTACACAAGGTTTAGAATCTGGAATTCATCGCCAGAGAATCATAGGAATAAACAGCTTTAAAAGGTGATTAGATAGATTCATGGGGGATAGAGGTCTATCAGTGGCTACTAGCCATGGTGACTGAGGGGAACTTCCAGGTTCACTAGCACTAATCCTCAGAATCCCAGAGCCAGGAGGCAACAGCAGCGGAAGGTCTCATCCTCTATAGCCTGCTGTTGGCCCTCCAGAGGAAATGGTTGGACACTGTGTGGGACAGGATGCTGGACTCGATGTTCTTTTGATAGGAACAGGACCAAAAACTCCCCCAATCCCGCCAAGCTACAAAAAAAATATCGCCTTCTCTTAGGCGATAATAGCAAGTGCAGTTGCACAATACAGACACCATTTGGGGGAGAGAATCTATTTAGTCCAAGGGAGAGGCCACGAATAGTCTGTTGTGGCAAGCCAAAGCAGTAGACCAGTTGCAATGTAAAGACCAACTCAATTTATTCCAGCATAATTTGCTGTGAGTCAGTCTGCACTTCATGAAGTGAGCTTCGACTTTCAAAAAAGTTATCCTGAAATAAGTTCAGTTAACCCTTACGGTGCCACTGGCCTCCCGGAAAACCCCTCGACATCACGTCAGGATAGACCAGTAGGAAGGGGCAACGAAGCAAGGGGGAACAGCTGAGAGGGTGAGGTACTGTACATGGATGCCATTCCCAGGGGAGGGAAACGTGTGTCTGTGAGGGGTGGTGGTGGGGATTACCTGTCAATCTCCAGCGCTCGGGATGCGCCAGGGCCAGCAGCCGCTTGGCGTCAGATCCTCCTCCTCCTCCTCCTCCTCCTCCTCCGGGCCCAGGAGCCAGGGAAAGTGCTGCTGCCGCCCCCGTGGGCTCGCCCGCCTTCTTCCGCGAGCTCCCAGCCGTGGCTGCCCAAGAGGATGCGGTGACAGCGTGGGTAGCTGCCGGGCCAAGGCGGAAAACGCCGGGAGGAGAAGGCTGCCGCCGGCACCTGTTGCTCGCTGAGCTGCAGGCGGCCCACCCCCTGCCGAGGGAAGCCGCGGGAGCCCAGGAGCACCACTGCCGGCGCCGCCATAGCTGCGGCAACGAGGGCAGGCGGGGAACCAAGCCCGCCATGGAGCAAATGGCCGGCGAAGGAGGCGACGGCCGCGGCTTCCGAGCCCAGCGGGAGAGGGCGGCGCCTCAGCGAACGCAGCGCCGTTGTCCCATGAAGCGCCGGGCCCGCCTAAGCAGCAGGGGCCCGGCCCAGCCCCTCCTGCTGCCCGCCGATAAGGCTCCTGGCGGCGGCTTCCTGCTATCATCCCCGGCCGGCAGCCACCCACCCAGCCAGCCAGCCAGCAGATGGGATCGGGGGGCCGGCAGCGCCCTCTGCCGTTCACGGCGCTCCGCGGCGCGCACCGGCCACTTCCTCGGCCGCAGCGCCCCACAGTGTCGGGGAAGGGATCCGGGAGCGGGCGGGGCTGCCGGGAAAAACCTCCCCCGCCCCCACCAAAACCCAGGTGCCGCTCGGCCTCGAGGCTCGCTCTGGGAAGAGGGGTGAAAAGCCTCCCCGCCCTGAATCGCTAGCCCAGCGCAACAACCAGCGCAAACCTACGGGCACCACTTGCTTAAGAGCAGGCCTCCGTGGGGCTCAGTAAGGCTTACTTCCGAGTAACCATAAACCGAAAGAGCCAAGGATTCTCCAGTCAGAGACTTCCAGAATCCAGGCAGCCTTGAAGCCCAGCAGCTTTTTTTGTAAAAAGTCCAGGCGTGCTCTGTGCACACAATGTGGCATGGGGTTCCCGCTCTTTCGGGCTTTTTTTTTTGTTCCCTAAAATAATCCCTTAATTAGACTTGCCACTTGACCACCTATGCTTAGACTGCTGTCAGATATTCCACGAAGCCACGCCTGCCCCAGTGGTAGGTGGCCCCTTTCACCGCTTTAATTTCAGGGACGTACTAAAACTAAGGACAGCGATTGCCCGTAGGGAATAATGGAGAGCAGGCTTGCCCAGAGGGGATAGTGCAGTGCATAATTGCCAATAGAGAATCCATGACGGCCCATAAGGAATAATGAAGAGGACGCTTGCCCATAGGGGATAATGGAGTACATAATTGCCAATAGAGAATCCATGATTGCCCAAGGTTAGGTCGGGGGGGGGGGGGAGGTTCCTCCACCTCCCTGAGCCCAGGGGTGGTGGCCTTGGACTTCTGGGGGCAAATTCCACCTCTCACGTGTGATGTCCCAGCGGCAACTCCACTGGGACATCACAAGCGAGAGGTCATTTTGGCTCCCCCAGCTCTCGTTAGGGGCTCTTTAAAAAGTTATGGCCACGGCCAGTCGGCGGCAGCTGCAACAGCCATGAGGGGAGCGGCGTGAAATGTACCTCCGCCTCCCTGAGCCTCGGGATGGTGGCCTTGGACTTCTGGGGGCAAATTCCACCTCTCCCGTTGCCGCTCAGACATCACACACGAGAGGTCATTCTGGCTCCCCCAGGTCTCGTTAGGGGCTCTTTAAAAAGTTATGGCCACCACACTGTCGGCGGCAGCTGCAACGGCAGCGGGGGGAGGGGCGCGAAACGTTCCTCCGCCTCCCTGAGCCTAGGGGTGGTGGCCTTGGACTTCTGGGGGCAAATTCCACCTCTCGAGCATTGCCGCTCGGACATCACATGCGAGAGGTCATTTTGGCTCCCCCAGCTCTCATTAGGGGCTCTTTAAAAAGTTATGGCCGCCACCACTGTCGGCGGCAGCTGCAACAGCCACGGGGGGGGAGGGGCGCAAAACATTCCTCCACCTCCCTGAGCCTCAGGGTGGTGGCCTTGGACCTCTGGGGGCAAATTCCACCTCTCCCATTGCCGCTCGGACATCACACGCAAGAGGTCATTTCGGCACCCCCAGCTTTCGTTAGGGGCTCTTTAAAAAGTTATGGCCGCCGCCACTGTCGGCAGCAGCTGCAACGGCCACGGGGGAACATTTCATTATGATGTGATTTGCTTGTAGTGAATGCAGGCGTGAGAGTGGTCTGGGCCGGGGAGTCAGCAGCAGATTGAGCAGCAAAGCTTTGCCTACTGGTCATCTAAGACAGCTGCAACCATTCCCTCCCTCCCCTGTCCGTTGTTGACCGCTTTATAAAACTGCCATTAGTATGTTTTATTTCGGTTTTCATTTCTTGTTTGTTTTGTAATTGTGGGCTGATATTGCAGGATAAAAGTCAGAGGGGGAAAATTCATTGAATCGCTCACATTTATAGAAAATTTATCCAATATTGTTAAAAGTTATTAAAAAAAAAACGTTAATTGCAGGGCTGTTCCCCCACCATCCTCAGTAAGAATTCTTGCTTTGTGGTGATCAAAGTGAATGTAAAGCAGAACACGCTTGGTCAACAAAATCCCAGCTTCACATACTGATGGGGTCTGTCTTAACTCCTTGGGAAAAGAGATCTCTGTTCTGTTAAAATAAAAACAAATTCAGAGATGGGGATTACTATGTAAAAGAATGAAAATAAAACAAGTAGATAGATTTTTCCCTCTTCTGAATACTAAAACTTAGAGTTCTTTGGTGAAATTGATCGACAGTAGATTCACAGTAGGCAAAAGAGCATAATTCACATTATTAGCTATTATAGCTCAATGGTACCTCCATGTTTGGAGGCAGCATGTCAGTGAATACCAGTTGCCGCCTGGAGCACAAACAATATGGGGGAGTTTATGCTTTGGTACCTTACTTGTGGGCTTCCTGGAAACAGGTTGCTGAACTAAATGGACCCTGTTCAGGGTGGCTTTCCACCTTCCCTTTCCTCTTTAGCCCCTCCTTTGTAAAACTCTTCTTTGGCCTTCTGAAATCAGCAAGCTCCCCTACAGATAATTTCTAAGCCCACATTAGGTTGTTATTAGGATAAAATGGGTGGGATTCCCAGGTTATAAATCAGGTACATATAAGAGGGACAGTTCTGAATTGAAAACTGTACCAGTTTAGGAAGTCATTGAATCATTAATATTCAAGGATATTAATAGGAGAAATGTTAACGCTGACTTTCTGAACAACACTAATTTAGATTTGCTTAACGTTAATTGAGAGACAGGAAGAAATGTTTTTCCTATTGTCATAGTTATACAGCAGATGCTACATTATTATTGGAAGAAGTAAATGATTTTACAGTTCTATCAAACTGCTGTAACTATTTAATAATTGATTTTTTTTTACCTTTGCCACTATACAACCCTGTAGCAGGATATTGCTGTAAGTGTGCCAACACATTGGCTATTTTTCTTTTTACATTTTGTATAAAGTTATTTTGTTGTACATACTGAAGAAGATACTACAGTCAGTACTGAAATGAGTCGTAGCCAGAACCTTGTCTTTTTTGTACAGATTCATGCTCTCTATGTTGCCTTCTGTTTCTGTACATAAATGTTGATATTTATTTTTTTCTTAGTCATTGTTTATATAATGTTTTATTTTGTAATTGTATTGGATGGTTTTGTTATGCACACATCTATCACGGTGACATTTATGTTCTTGCACAATTGTTATGAATATATATTATATATATCCACATATAATTTATGTACTTATTTATATAGTTGTTGCTTGCCTTCTCTTGCTTCTTTTTCTTACCCCAATAATAAATGTGCCACCACATTTTGAACTGAGACTTCTGAATTGGCCTCCAGGGCAGTCCCATGTACAATACCTGCTTTCTAAAAATAAAGTGGAATCCTCCAGAATGATTCACAGATTCTGCACTGATTCAGCCAAACCAGCTGAATACAGGGAGAACAAATTCCTCTAACACCTCAGCTTTCCTAACCAGTATTACCTTCATTTTGTCAGAACTGAGCTTCAAGTTGTTCACCAGACACTGGCCCATGACAGAAATAGCTGTTTATGGTGGTTTAGAAATGAAATGTAAATATGTGTGTCACCAGGATATTGGTGAGACTCAACTTCCTATGGACAATCTTCAGAAGAGCTTAGAGATTAAATAGTATAGGAGACAGCACTGAATCCCTGGAACACAAAAGAGGGGTAGCTTAAACTGCTAGCTTCTACATTAGCCCCCTGAATCCTGCTTTACAGTGCCCTCCTAAGTAAAGTTATACCATTCTAAGCCCATTGAAGTCAATGAACTTAGAAGGGTGTAATTCTGTTTAGGATGGCACTACTATCCATTCCTGGGGGATTTATGCTGGTTCTAATTCATAATGTTGGGAAACATACGGTACATAGCACATACAAGGGAATATGGACTAGGTATAAGTGATGGGCTGGAAGGGATTGTGGTGATGGTGGAAATTCTGTGTATTTTTGCCTGTTTACTTTGCAAGGGCAAATAAAAACACTCTACTACTTTACCACTAATGGGTTACAAATGTATTAGCACACATATCCTAAAATCAGAATCCAAACGGCTAGTTTTCCCCTCTTGCCAAAACAGGATATGAGGCTGAGAAAGCCTCTCAAGAGAAGAGAGGAAGGAAAAAGAGCAATGACTTTATATTGCACATATGAAGCAGTTCCTTATCAGTCTTCTTTTCATACATCCCATTCAAAGGGGTATTGAGAAAACCACATGTCTTGCAGTGCATTCACTTCAGGTTCTGATTAGTATTCTTTATATGTCAGACAAAAGTAGTGGAAGTACATAGGAACTGGTCTGACAGTTCAAATAAAATCAAATAAAATCAAATAAAACAGGGCAGAATTAGAGGACCCCTTTGGATACAGGACTTTGAAATAACTATATGTTATCCAAAGAAGTTCTTTGGCTCTCTGGTTCCAGTGGAGGAACCATGCTAACCTGTTGCAGGGGGCGGGGGGGAGACCAGCATTTTAAAGACAGACTGAAGTGTAAGTTTTCATGGGCTCAAGCCCATCAGATGCAGAAGTAACCTCATGCGGCGGAAGAATACATACAACAGGGCAGTGGAAGAGAAAAATTGTGAGGTTATGAATTGTAAGAGTTTGCGACATTTTACATGAACTCAAGCATAGCGACCATTCAGGACAACTGTAACTGGTGATAACCAACTCCTTCATGTTAAACCATTTTAATGGCTGTAGAGGCTGAGAAAGGTGTCAGATACAATAAGCTCCAGTTTAATATAATTAAATCTACTGACAATTTTTAGACTCAACAGTTTCTCATTATAGTCTCTCTCTGAAGTTTATTTTTTGAAGGCTGACTTTTAGATTGGCAGCAGGAGGTCCTGTCAGACTGTCAGGCTGTTTCTGAATGTTACCATTTTAATGTCAGATTTATAGCCG